ACTCATCTTCAATGAGAAATGAAAGCGCCCAACACCTCTCGTACTAATCCCCTCCAATTTTTGCCTTCTCTTAAAACCACCTGGTTGTTGATCGGTGCTACCCGTAGAAGTGCAATTCACGTGAAAACAGTTAGAATAGGACTAATGACAAAAAAAAGTCATTCTTCATATGCTAAACAGATGAATCAGTGCACTTACTTTGCCAATAATTTAATGCGTTTTCTCATATTTCCTTGCACAAGTGGTGAAAGTTTTAGCCAACTTTTTTAAAGCTTCCAACACCTCATTAAACACAACAGAAAATAGTAATCCACAACAACAAAAAAAACAAACCCTTATCACAACTGCAAAACACAGCCGTCCTCCTTCACACCTCCTCCCTGACCCGCTTGCCTGTTACACCACACATTTAACCTGCTCACCACCTGTAATCCTAGTCTGGTTTCTACAGCACCTAACTTAATGTGAACCTGCCTGATGAAGCATAAGCACTACCACAAAACAAATATAGTATCTTTTAGTCCCAAACCTTACCCACCAATGTGACCTTACAGCCCAACCGACAAACAAAGAGTAACAATGTTCAACTTGTGTTAAACAGGACTCTTCACTGGTCAGCCAAGGATGAGGAAGTCATGGTTGGATTAAGCACGGCACAGAGCTGCAACTGCTATAAAAGCTACTGAGAAGTGCACGTGCCTATAAAGCTGTCGTGATGGAAGTTGGATGTTTCCTGCAAAATGTACTAACTGCATGTTGCCAGGATGGCAGCTGCATGCGCCTCACTGAAATGTAACGTATTTCTTCTTAATTTCTTTCAGATCTGAAGAACTAGTATGTCCTCAACGACTATGAGAAAAGCAAAAAACAATTTTGGACAAATATCCTAAATCTAAGATGTGGAGAAAATTACTTGTTGCCGTTCTCATTTAAAATGAACCATTTTAGGTTCATGTATCTTTTTTAAGACTTTAAGACATCAGTATCTTGCAAACCTTTATGCATTATTTTTTAGATTCTTTTTAATATTTCCAACTGAAGCAACAGATAATCGGAAAGTTTTCCTGTCAGCTTCACTCACTCTGCCATTCCAAAAAAAAGGAGAGTTACCAATATAATTTTCATTAGATTAGTAAGAAAATTCAAATAATAATAATAATAATAATAATAATAAAAATAATAATAATAATAAAACCACACACACCCTCCCCCAAAAGCAAAAGAGTTTGGGTACCAATTAAATTGCCATGAAGAAAAGGCAAAGTAAGCCTCCATTTCTACCTTGTAAAACTCCAGCAACAATTATTTGCATATGTCAAGGAATATGTGACTGGTATTAAAAAAGTCAAAAACAAAGTAAAAAGCCCATTAAATTCAGGATTATTTTGCCCTAAAGCACTAGCATATGATGCATATGATCATAAATACTGAGGATGTAAACACTGAGCCTACGTCATGCTCTTGCCACTGTCTGGTAACAAACACCACAGGTCACCTTACATTTTCTCCAGCTAATCTGAACACCCTCTGGTACAGGAAGCAAAATCTGTAGAGTAAAATGTATGTAATTAATTCTTGTAGTCCAACAAAAATATTGACAAGTAATTACAGGACTTCAGCACACAAACACTTGTTAGTGGTTACAAAAAGTAACACATCATTGAGAGAATACTCAAGAAAACAGAATAGAAAGGCTTAAAAAACTTGCATCAAAGACCCCAACTAATAAGCTCATATTTATCAAAAACATCAAAAGTGAGTTTTAATTTTTTCAAAATGGAATTATTTAAGAACATTCTAATTTGTCAAGGCACATAGGGTAATTAAGTGTGTAAACAAGCAGTAATTTCCTTGTTTACTGATGTTATTACAAATGTTTATAAAATAGATTCAAACTTTCAAAGGATTAATGGAAAACAAAAATAATGTCTAAAGGCAATTCTGCATCTTAGAAAAAGGTGCCCAAGTCAGCTAAACTACTTTAGAGATTAAGAACATACAAAAATTCAAAAAGCAAGTCCTGTGTAGAAATCAATTAAGGAGCACCACTGGAGAGAAATGCTGACCAACGGACTTTTTTCTCCCCTTGGATGTAGACGGCATCAGCGTAATTTGTTTCCAAGTGAGAACTCATACTGACAAATTTGCAGAATTAGGCTCTAACTAAGGATCTAATAAAGTGAAGACTACCACAACTGCCTTAGATTTGAATATTAAATGCTTAAGACAAATGTCTAAAATGTCTCAATGCTTTTTACTAATAAAGACAACCGCTAGAGGACAAGGAATCATGCTTCAGAAATCATAAGCACCAAGCTGGAATAAAGTCCTCTCAAGATCTACTCTGCAGTTCATCCTCTTGCAATTTGTATTGGGCTTAAGCTGGTATTTTAAAACAAACAAAAAAAAGTAAGTTCTCTATAAACTATTCAGGCTTTAGTCCAGACAGCAGTCTCCATTATTTCAAGATAACTTCCACTCCTTTATTTGCCATATTACTAGAAGTGGTTAAATTATAAGGCAAAATATGCTTGACCAGATCATATTTACTATAAGTTTAACTCAATATTAATCAACTCAAAATTAATAATTAATCCAAAGGCAACAAGAGCCACCACAAATTTCACAGTTTCAGGAGAACCTCAACACATCGCAGTGCAGTGACATGTAACATTTAGATTCCTGTGTCGCAGACAATTGTTCAACAGGACATATGTTCATAAGAAAAATGCATTTCAAATCCTCAAATAGTAGACATCACACAAAACCAACTCTGTTTTACGCTAGAGCCACACACTCTTTTAAACCTCGACTACAACCCCAGCTTCCTGGAGCGCAAGACACTGGGGTGTGCCAACGAAGATACCGACTGCAGTGCCTGTGCACCCACATCAGCCTCACGTGTATTAGGAGAGAACTGCTGCCAGGGAATTCCCTGGAGCGCTTCCCTCCTCTGGTGTCGAAAAGCCTGGCCCACTTGCCTTAGGGATCACACTTACTAACGCTGTAAAATTTAATAAGGAACACAGTTCTTGTAAGCATGCCAGGATCTAGCATTTACGTACCGGGTAACATTCTGCTGCATTATTTCCCAACTATTCCTCCAGCCATTTATAATCACAGAATGACTTCTCACCAGCAATGTTACGTTTGCAAAATAACCTCCACACCATGCACTTTTACCACACCTGAAAGTCACAGCCTTCACAGTGTCACGCTTTTCTTTTTACATAGGATATTCTTGTTCTACAGCTCTGAGTTTTGCCCTGTTTGAGGCAGGGGGGGCCTCATCAGCGCATGGGAGGGAACGAAGAGGGAGCCAGACTCATCTAGCTGCGCCTACTGACAGGGCAAGAGGGAACAAATTGAAACACATGAAATTTCACCTGAACACGAGAAAAAAAAAAACAAAGCCTTGGGGGTTTTTTGTTTTGTTTTGGTAGTTTGTTTTTTTTACTGTGAGGGTGATCAAACACTGGTGCTGGTTGCCCAGGGAGGTTGCAGAGTCTCCATCTGTGGAGATATTCAAAACCCGACTGGGTATTGTCCTGGGCAACTGGCTCTGGGTGACCCTGCTTGAGCCAGGGGTTGGACTGGATGGTCTCCCTTCCAACCTCAGCTATTCTGTGATTCTATAAAGAGCAAGTCAGGAGGAAACTAGCAGAAAACTAAACCCATCAGCAAGATTACCTCCCACATCCAGGAACAGCTCTGGATCAGTGCTCAGCTCAAATGACTGAGGTTCATAATGCTCATAAAGCGATTGAGAGGCTGGGATAGGTATAATGTACATCTCATTAAAACAAAACATACCCATACTCTCCCTCTAGACATCATATATTATTTTGTAAGGATTTTCCTGCATTTAACACACACAAACTCCTGAAACATATGACTAGCTGTAAAATTTGCAACATCCCCACATTTCACAGTTCACTCTGACAGGATAGCCTGGGTAGCCAGATGCCAAAGTGAAACAGATGAGACAGAAATGCCAGGCTTTACTCCAACACCTTCAACTTTTCACTAGGACAATTAACTTTTCTGTCCCCATCTGTGAACAGAAGATATGCTCTTTGTAGGTACATCTCAAAAAACCCCAAAAAATCCAAAACACAAAAACCACCACCACCACCAAAAAAAACCCATAAAAAAACTCCACCCCTAATGAGTGGCAGTTTTGAATATCTAAAGACATATTTGCAATATCAGTAAAACTATGCTAGCTTCAGTTTTCCCTAAAGCACATCAATTAAGTACACATATGCATGACTTCAAGGCTTTTTAGGTATAGTAAGAAGTGAAGATTATGTGGTAATTTAAAGAACAGCCGAATTTCAGAATTTGCTGAAAGAAGTTGGATTATTATAAATACTGTACTTTAACTTGTGAGCTACAAACACTTTTTCTAAAAAAACTGTCTGTCCCTTTTTATTTTCTAAGCTCTCGGGCAGTAAGTCACTTTTTTCTACAGCTCTTCATACATTTGCGTGCAGTTTCTGTACTGCTCACATAGCCAGATGCAACCTGCCTACACTGCAGAAACGCAGCTGCCTCTTATGGCAAATTATTTGTCCTATAACTGATATCAAATATATTTTCAATGGAAAGTCTCTCCCAATTAAATCTGTTTATACATAATTTGAGCTGATACTCTTTGGTACATTCAGACAAAAAGCTCCCTGACAACTGTCAATGATTTTTCTCAATTTCACCTTTTTTCCCCATCAAGTACATTTTGTGCTTTGTTCAAGACAAGACACTTTCTTTGCCAAGCCAACAGCTGTACTAAGACATAAAAAATGCTTTAAAGCCACTGATGGATAGATAACCAGTGTGGCAGCTCCATACTTGTTTGCCAGCACATGCAAAAAACCCTCTGACAGGGTTTGTTTCTGACATCAGAAACAAAAAAAAGCTTTGTTTCTGATTTAACAAAGACACTGCTTATTCAACAATTATACCAAGTCCAGAAGATCGTATTATGGTATAACTAAAATTTACAGACCTATGTATTAGAGTGGATTCAAACACATGAAGAGTGTTAGCGTCCAGTCCTCCCTCACTAAAGCTGGAGGACCAGCACTCCTGCAGTGTAGCTCAGGCAAGGAGTGGAGTCCCAGGGGCCACTGGGCAGGAGGCCAGGGCCACCTGAGGCTGGTCAGTGCCATTAAGGTCTACTAATGCACTTAGGACCCTGACATATATCCATCACACCAGCTTATCTTGCACCGCTAAAGAAAGATATTGCTCACTTCTTTTTACTCAGGTTTTTAATCCAACAACTGCGCTCTGGCAGTTGATGAACCTTTCATGGCTCAAAGATTTATAAATAGTTACTGCTTTGGTACTTCAGTCCAGACTAGATACACCATGAATGAAAATATTGTTCTCCACCGTTACACTGTGACCTAGACAAAAGGAATGTAATTGCAACTATCTTTCTACAATCCACATTGCTGAAGACTATGAATTTAAAAAACATGGCAGTAAAAGGTAACTAAGCCATCAGAGTCAAGGAAAGAGAATAATGGGGGGTTCTGCAGAAGTTTTCGCTCTGTTGCCCACCTAGCCTTCAGAATTACTGATATGGCAACCTTTCAGGCACATTACAAATGAAACTCCATGGAAAATAAACCCAACAGCAGCCATCTATAAAAGATGATCAAAAGACTGATGCAGACTGACTTGAAACAAGAAGCAACCAAATATAGAGGAAAGATGGTATACACTGCATTAGGTATTGACAACTTGACCACAAGAAAGGATTCTGGAAATAAAAGAAAACCTTGAATAGTTTCCCACCAGATGTAGTTTCCATTCTGCTTTCTTACCTGATCTGCTGCAATGAAATAGGTGCTTTAATTTGCTGATAATAATCAGGATACTTTTTCTTGGAGGGCAAGTGGAAAAAGGGTTCAGATATGAGCTGGCCCTGATTATTTCGGCAACTTCTAACTGTGTCATAAAGCTGATAAAGAGGATTAGAAGTGTCCATGAAGGAAGTAATGCTCTCTGCTTCAGATTCTCCTTCTTCATAACGAGCAGCAGCTGCACAGAGAGAAAGGAAAAATGGGAAACTCAGCAGGACAACTCAGAGTGGGTTTTTTGGTTAACTTTTCAAATGGATAAAGATCTAAACCGGAAGAAAAGGCAGTCCCTCAATCGAGGGTGTTCAGCCACGCTCTGGCAGACAGATTCATACCTCAGAAAAGGACATCACAAATATATCTTATGAGCCTCAAGCTGACAAAAAAAAGCACTTTATCTAGGTATTGCAATCTCTCTTATCAGATGAGACTTCAGTTCTGTCACTGGTAATACACCCTTGCCACCTACAAGTACTGAGAATTGTTCATATATGAGACTACATAACAGGACTATTCAACCACACACTACCTATAAAACAGCTATGTCCTAATTTACCCATCAAACTATTAATACTAGTATTTGTGCCAAATACATTTGTACATTGAACTACCGCTATTCTGCTATCTGACAAGAGCTCACTACAAGAATACAAATTGACAAACCATGTCTGGAATTTTCAAAGGTGCCTAGCCGTTTAAGCAAAATGGCCAAATTAAAAATGAGCTTTTGCATATGTATCAAAAAGGTGACTTCAAAACTTCTATAATCCTTCAGACCATATTAATCACAGCTTAATTCAAAAATTGTGAAGTTTAGCAGAAAAAAATGACACTACAGCCTGATGGTGCACCTCCAATATATGCAGCAAAATGAAGAAGAAATAAATATTTTCTAATTATTATATAATTAGCATAAACATTTCATAATAAAGTATTTACAAATTTTATAGCAAACTTTTCTAGTTATCTATATGAAGCATATATTACGCTTCACGATTAGGATGAATGAAAGAAATGCTCTGAAGAACTAACATTTACTGCAGATAAAATTAGGAGAAACATTACAAGAGCAACAGAAACACAAAAGGAATGAAAAAAACCTGGTAGTGGAAATATAGGATGGGAAGCAATGAATGGCCTAGGCCAATGAAGGCCAACCCTTCCACATTTCCCAGTAATACAAATTGTGTAATTTGTACCTTGCAGACAGGCATAACATGAAATATATGTGGTTTTGCACATACTAGAGTTAAATTGTTCACCCTTTTTCCCCTTTTATGAGTTACAGTTTGAAGGAAAGCTTGGCAGATGACACACTGCGTAATTCAGTTACACAAAAGACAGTTCTCTAACACTCACGCCACATTTCCAGCTGACATTTTCATTATTGCTCAGTGGAGGCTGGCAATGTTTCAAGCTTTCTCTCCAAGTTCAGTAAAGGCATATTGAAATGATGACAAAGCCAGGGGACACACTGACTGCATAACAACATAGTACTATCATTTTTCCTCTGCAGTCTGACATTGCAGATCTGTGAGTGTATGACATTTGAGATCTACCAGACAAGTTAGATGCAAGCTAAAACACAAGCAGACCTCAGCAGATGTGCAAACACATTATGAAGACGTTCATTACTGGCTCAGGGAAGACACTAAAAATTATCTTAATTACATATCTGTATGTCAATCGGCATCACTTAATGGCCTAGCATCCACTACACAGTAGCCTTCAAAGTAGGCGCTGGACAGAATAACTTGGGTAGAAACAAAAGGCTGGAGGTAGTACTATGTTTTCCTGTACCAACATATCAACTTGAACATGGAGATAAATGCTAACAGCTAAGAGAATGCTATCAGGTAAATTAAGTCTCCAAAATAGATTATGCAGCAAAATACTGTCTTTGGTTTTGTTTACTCAAACAGTTCCATTCAGTTTGTTTACTGAAACAGTTCAGTTCTGAGTGCTCCATCAAAAAGAAACAGAATAGAAAAAGCAGAAGAACTTGTTTTTACGAAAGAGAAAAAATAAGAAACTAGTCAAGTATATTACTGTTCTCTGACACGTGGCAGCCAGCAACAAAGCAGTTCAGTACCCTAAATAAGAAATGTACTTCCTTTGTATTAAAAGTAGAACACAAGGCATTCCCTAAAATAAAAATCTAAGTAAATTCAACAGGCACTAAAAGGAAAGTGTTTACATAATATTGTAATACAGCTATAAACATTTTCATTATGATGTGTATGGTCTTTAAAAGCAATGTGTCAAACATTATATATTCTTACATATTCAGAACATGATAGTGTTCTCCTAATATGAAACCCGTTATCTTAAGAACTGAAGAAGAATGTATTATTGAGATCAGAAGACAGAAAAATCCATATTTTGCTATGGAACAGTCTAATGCAAGATTGTAGATTCTTTAACATGCAGTAGCACCAGGTCCCATATCCCCCCCAAGCACACGCTGGCAGTGGAGAGTAACAGTCAGTTATTCCCCTTTCATGCAGCTGTTACCACAACTACAGTTAGCAGATACAGGGGGCAGGAGGGGAGGACCAAACGCAGTAAACGGTAACCACAAAATATATGCCACTCAACAGTCCCAAACAAAATGTATTTCCCGCTGTTCATGCCATACCACAGTGACTGTTCCCTAATGAAGGGACAGCTGCATAACGGAGTAATGTTAAACTGACTTCACTGCAAAAGGAAGAAGCCATCTGGAACTGGGCTTTATTATCAGATATAAATGCATATATCATATAAATGTACTCTTACTCAATGATGAGGCAGAAAAAGAGCAGAGAAAGAGGGGAGTTATTTGAATGTATATGAAAGAAAGTTAGTCTTTACTCAGTAAGTGATCTGCTTTAAACACTGTCTCCTTTGTGGTCCCAAAGCACCTAGACAACAATGAACGCTCAAAGCCTAACTGAAGATAGATGCTAGTAAAACCAAAAGGACCATCCAGTCTTAAAACATTTATAAATAAAATAATAGTAAATAAAATAGCTTTGTTTACAAAATGAAATACTTATTTATAAGTAATACATAATGACCATCTATGCCTGCCTTTACAGATTTATAGTCAGGAGCAAGGGAGCTACAGAAGCTGCTCATGTCCTAGTACATTTGAGCTGGAAATCTTCTACAAGCTCCATCATACCACGACACCCTCTAAAACTGTGAGGATAAAGCTATCTGTTTCGAAGCTGGAAACAGATATTGCGTAAATCTTAGGCAACTGCTACAATCGACGAAACTCACAAAGATTGTTCTCTGTATCGAGAAGGAGAAAGTTCTCTTGATGTTCAGTCACGCAGCCTAGTTCTCATTTATTTCAATGAGTGTAAGAGGAAGGAAAAAAGATGAGATACCAGAGCAACTAATAAAAATACCACTTGATTTAAATGAAAATCCTTTTCATCCACAGACTGAAAGCATAGGGATGTCCAAGTAGTACATTGGAGGGACAGAAGATCTTAAGGGTAGCAGAGGTCTGCCAAAAAAATTGACATTGCCTCTTAGGTGAATGCAATAAAGATAGGAGAGCTGCAAGAGCAGCAAGGCAAAAATCTCAGAGGCATACGAAAGGCCCCATGAAAACAACAATAATGTCCATGGTAAAGGTGGCACCTGAAAGTGGTTAAATCATTTCAAGAATTTAAATCGCATAAAGACGTAAAAAGTTATGCGTTTTTACAGAATTACAATTTGCAAAAATAGCAGCTAACAATCACACTGAACCAAGCTAATAAATACTCCTCACACCTCCCAGAAAGCAGCCGCTCTGAAGCAATAACTGAACTCTGGGCTAACCAGGAATACAAATGCTTTTGCTTGCAGCAAGATCTAAAACGATCCAAAAAATTCTACAGCATATCTATCCACTGGAAAACAGTGGTGAGTACAATTCAATTATCAGGTGTGAAATATATGCCCAAAAAATATATATAGAAGAGATGCATCATTTCACATCAATACAGAAATAATGTAAACAAAAAATAAAACAACGGTATATGTACAAAAAATTTTCGGAAACCTGCTCTGAGATGAATGCAAGGAAGTTACTGAGAATGTAACTATCAAGACAGGCTAACTTCATAGAATCATAGAATAGTTTGGGTTGGAAGGAACCTCTAAAGGTCATCTAGTCCAACCCCCCTGCCGTGGGCAGGGACATCTTCAACTAGATCAGGTTGCTCAGAGCCCCGTCCAACCTGACCTTGAACGTTTCCAGGGATGGGGCATCCACCACCTCTCTGGGCAACCTGGGCCAGTGTTTCACCACCCTCAGCATAAAAAATTTCTTCCTTAGATCTAGTCTAAGTCTCCCCCCCTTTAGTTTCAAGCCACTCCCCCTTGTCCTGTTGCAACAGGCCCTGCTAAAGAGTTTGCAGCCATCTTTTTTATAAGCCCCCTTTAAGTACTGATAGGCTGCAAGAAGGTCTCCCCGAAGCCTTCTCTTCTCTAGGCTGAACAACCCCAACTCTCTCAGCCTTTCTTCACAGGAGAGGTGTTCCATCCCCCTGATCATTTT